GGTGTAAGTCTTGAAAAAAGTGATTATATTATCTGAGTGCGGTGCTTATATACAGTACCAGAATAGAGGGCTCATTGACGTAAGTGGAGAATATCATGAGATAAATATCGCCAAGGGCCTTTAAACGGGGAATAAAAGACTGGAGCAAGCGAGACCAATGCTTAGATGGGCAAAATGTAAAACCTGAAGGTCAAGGAATAGCTGTCAGTGTCAGCAGAGGTAAGTATTATTGGAAATACATTTTCAATTTAGGAAAATGGTAACTTTCAAGTAATATTGTTGAACCTATGTAAAGTAGTAGATCAGACTCTAACAATGGGTTGTAGTAAATGACAGTTATATATTGTGCTCATGTACTTTCTATATTGGTTCTTAGAAACTTTCTTTTTAGGTTTATATATGGCAACTGAAAAACAATGACCTGGCTGGAGTTGCATTTATAGACACTCAAATCTACATCCATCTTGCCATCTCCATCAAAAACCTCATCTTGGTTGGTGATTTCTGCAAATCTGTATCTCTGCTTCGGTATCAGGAGGAAAGCAGGACACTGTCTTTGGTCAGCAGAGTAAGTAGCTCAGTTATGTCTCATCTAGTTGCTGAAAGAGTAAGTAGCTCAGTTAATGTCTCAATTAGTTGCTGAAACTTTTAGGATGTATTTTGTCCAATACTTTTACAATAAGCACTTTCTCATTACCATAATTTTATGAATTTGAAATAATAAGTTGTAACTTTCCATAATAAATTAGAATTATCACTTTTCCAACTTTGTCTTTGTAATCCTTCATATACCACCTGGGATGTATTTGCACTCCACGTAGTAACAACAAATCTATATTACTCAACACAGGTTGAACCAGTGACACACAGTACCTTCCTCATTGTCATAACCCTTAGTAAGAAAAAATCTCTATCATTTTGCATTACGAATGGTTTGATTCTTGGTTCTACTTATTTTTACCATCTTGGATATATATTTGTACCCCATCTTGAAATATGGAGGAATGCTGTAGAGTTCCACTTCTAGAACATTACAGAAGCAGTTTGAAAGGGAGTGTAAGTCAGTGAACAACATTAGTTGTCATTGTTTACTGAGTTGTCAAGTAAAGACTGATTCTATTACACATCTCGCTCTAAAGTTGAAAGTCAGGATACAAGCATGTTATGTAGAGCCATGATCCATGAGTTGGAAGATGAAAATGTGGAAGAAAGCAGTGGATCAGAAATTACGTTGATCAAGTTGAAGATCAGTCAGAAGAAGAAAATGATGTTTCAATATAGCGAGAATCTGAAGCAACGGTCAATCTGCCAGTGATACAATATTGATTCCATAACTTTTAAAATGAAATTGTGAAGAACAATGTTAGTATTGTTTTGTTGTCAGTTGCCTAAATAAGTTACCAATTTAACACAAAACTATTGCAGTTTCACACAGAAAACTTTCTTTTGTTCAGAACATTTTTTATTCCAGCTCTTGTAAAAATTATTGTCAGATTCTCGATTGTGGGTGTCTCATTGTTGTTAGCTAATCATAGTCATGATAATTCATAGGTCGGTAATAATTCGGTTCTATGTTCATATAAACAGTAAGCTCTCCAACCACAATGTTTGGTTTGTATTATTTTACTTTTATGAGTATCAGGATCTTTGATCTAAGATTGGGGATTTTTGTTGGTGATGTTATTGATAATATGCTGATCCTTTCTGCTTTTCATACACAGAGGCCTGTATTATATACATCAGCAGTTTCATGGGTAAAATTAAAACAATTATTTAGCAATATATCAATGTGGTTGTTACTAAAGCAGTTAAATTCAATTCTAAAAACCAGTATAACATGTGACATTTTCATCAATTCAACACTGCTATGGCCATTGAAGCAGCATCACAGTCACTTAATAGTGTACTAAAATTAGGAGCAGCACTACAGCCACTGGTTAATTTATTGTTAAAGTGAAGAAGCACCACAGTCACTAGATAGTGTACTGTTAAAGTGAAGAAACACCACAGTCACAAAATACTGTATTGTTAAACTTGAAGAAGCACCGCAGTCACTAGATAGTGTATTATTAATGTGAAGAAGCACCACAGTCACTAGATAGTGTATTGTTAAAGTTGAAGAAGCACTAAAGTCACTAGATAGTGTATTGTTAAAGTTGAAGAAGCACCACAGTCACTGGATAGTGTATTGTTAAAGTTGAAGAAGCACCACAGTCACTGGATAGTGTATTGTTAAAGTGAAGAAGCACCACAGTCACTAGATAGTGTATTGTTAAAGTTGAAGAAGCACTAAAGTCACTAGATAGTGTATTGTTAAAGTTGAAGAAGCACTACAGACACTAGATAGTGTATTGTTAAAGTGAAGAAGCACCACAGTCACTAGATAGTGTATTGTTGAAGTGGAAGAAGCACCACAGATAGTGTATTGTTAAAGTTCAAGAAGCATCACATTCACTGGATAGTGTATTGTTAAAGTTGAAGAAGCACTACAGACACTAGATAGTGTATTGTTAAAGTTCAAGAAGCATCACAGTCAATAGATAGTGTACTGTTAAAGTGAAGAAACACCGCAGTCACTAGATAGTGTATTGTTAAAGTGAAGAAGCACCAGTCACTAGATAGTGTATTGTAAAAGTGAAGAAGCACCAGTCACTAGGTAGTGTATTGCTAAAATTGAAGAAGCACCACAGTCACTAGATAGTGTATTGCTAAAGTTGAAGAAGCACCACAGTCACTAGATAGTGTATTGTTAAAGTTGAAGAAGCATCACAGTCTCTAGATAGTGTATTGTTAAAGTTCAAGAAGCACCACAGTCTCTAGATAGTGTATTGTTGAAGTTGAAGAAGCACCAGTCACTAGATAGTGTATTGTTAAAGTGAAGAAGCACCACAGTCACTAGATAGTGTATTGCTAAAGTTGAAGAAGCACCACAGTCACTAGATAGTGTATTGTTAAAGATTCAATGATTATTTGGATTATCTATGTGTTTGAGTCTGTTTTATTTCACCATATAGTAACCTTTATTACCTTAGGTATACAATTATTAGTATTTTTATCGCATACATTTGATGAACATTGTAGTTAAAGTGTTTTATCAGTATGCCTGGGAATAGTAAAACCTGTTTAATCATAGTTGATTAGAAACGTTTCTTTACATTAATACATTTTTCTACTTGTGTGCAGATCTTCTAACATTTTCTTTTATCTTTGTATTGAAGGATGTTAAACCATTGGAGGTATTTGGAATTGAATTTTTTGTTGACAATACACAGCTGGGATTCCTAGGTAAGATATTTCTGTATTATTGTGATATATTAAAATATTGATAGAGTTTTTTAGAGTATGAAAAGTGATCATACTTATAAAATTAGTTTTGAACTAAACAAATTTGACATATATTAACCTCTTGATTATACTTTGATAAGGGTTTTTTCACACTGAATTCAATGATTTGTAGGGCCTTTGTTCAGTATTCAGTAAATCCTAGGGAAAGGACAGGATAAATAAAACATTGTGGATAACAAAGGATGGAGAAGTGAAAAAAGATCACTTTTAATGAAAGTTAATTATAAATGGTACTTCATTACTCCACATGTGATAATTAAAGTCATTATATTCTTATAACAGAATTTAATGGCTGTTTGAAAAAGCTTCTTTAGATTTTCATTTGTCTTAAATTTCAACATAGTCTGGGTTCATGTTTTTTAATAGTAACAGATTCTGAGAAGAACTTGGTTCTCTACATGTACCAACCAGAGGCTAGGGAAAGCTGTGGAGGGCACAGGTTATTGAGAAAAGCTGATTTCCATGTTGGATCCTCAGTCATGACAATGTTCAGAATTCGCTGTAGGATAGGAGATATGTGGAACGTGGACAGAAGGCAAGCTGCTATTATAGAGAAGCGACACATAACAATGTATGGTAGGTATGTTTTCTCCATATAAATTGAAGCAATCAACTTAATTTCATAGCGTGTTCATAGTTTTTAATAGATGTGAATTTTCAAAGGTTTTGTATTGAATTTTTGCACATGATATTCAGGTCTTCATAAAGTTTCAAAACTAGAGGTTAAGAAAAGATATTTCCTCGAGAATAACTTGATGTTAGGTAATGGGAAAGTGTACATGTGTATGCCCTCTCGTAGGTTGTAGTGTTATGTTTTAATTTCCTTTTTAACCTTAACATTAAGAAGGTAAAGTTTGCTGTCATGATTAAATTAAGATTATTCAGAAATTTGTCTTAGATATTTCTTAAGACAACAGCAGTGTTGCTGACATGTCAGTATCTTCTGTAAAAATTCCACTTGAAATTTTCATGGTGATTTATATATATATTCAGTATGTTTCATAGCTTGTCTAATAGAAAAATTACCTACTATCTGTTATAAAAGTTAATATGTTTTATGGTTTATCTGATATAGAATTACCTACTTTCTTTTATAGATGTTCAATATGTTTCATAGCTTGTCTGGTATAGAATTACCTACTTCTTGTCATAGATATTCAGGATGTTTCATAGCTTGTCTGGTATAGAATTACCTACTTTCTGTTATAGATATTCAATATGTTTCATAGCTTGTCTGATATAGAATTACCTACTTTCTGTTATAGATGTTCAATATTTGATGACGAGGAACCCACATTGAGACTAATAATGGTTGGAGAT